GGGCAGGGAGAGGTAGGAGACCCTGCCGGGCGCCCGAGTGGCGAACAGCGGGGAGCTTTAGCACCGGGAGCCGGAGGGGGGGGGCCTGGCGCCGAGGGAGGGAGAGGGTTATGGGGGGGGAGACAGGACACACGTGCAGAGGGGGGGCGGAGCGCGGGACCGGGGGGGGAGACGGGGACGGGACACCCCGGAGGGAGGGCGGGGAGCGAAGGCGGGGGAGGGCCGCGGGGGAGGTGGGGCGCGGGAAGAGGCATTGGGGAAGGCGAGAGAGAGGGCGGGGGGGGGGGGGGGGACAGAAGGAGGAAGGAGGGGGGCGAGCGGGAGGAGCGGGGGGGAGTAAGAGGGCGGGAGGAGGTGGGGGAGGGGCGGGAGAAAAGCGTGAGGTGGGGGGGGGAAAGGGAACGTAGGAGCGGGAGGAGGGAAAGAGGAGGAGAGCCGGGGGGAAGCGGTAAGGGCGGAGGGGGAGATGCGGGGATAGGTGGGGGGAAGGCACAGGGGCGGGGGGCGCAGGAGGAAGGCGGGATAGGGGGGGGGCGACGGGTAGTGGGCGGGTGCATCTGGTAATGGGCCGACGGGAGGGCGGGAGGGGCGGGGAAAAGGGGCGAAGCCAGGGGGGCACGGGCCACAAAGGAGCCGGGACGGGAGCGGGAATAAAGAGGCAGGGGGGGGAGGGGCGGGGAGGAGGACCGCCACCGACCAGCGGCCAAGAGGAACGCCGCAGCCACGCGGGCATGACGTGGAGGGGGCCCGCCGGCCACCCGCGGGTTAAGGGGGGCCCCACGGGGCGGGCGGGGGGCCCCGAGGGAAGGGGCCCCAAGCCCCGGGCGGCCAACGGACCCCATGGGGTCCGTTGCGGGAGCCGAGGTGGGGGGGCGGGGACCGGGGGGAGGTAGAAGTAGGGCAGGGAGGGCAGAAGCGAGGGGAAGCAAGAACCCGGGGGCCGAGGAGGAAGAGGCGAGGAACCCCGGAGGACGAGCGGAGGAGGGGAACGGAGCACACGGAAGGGAGGGAGGCGGGACGCCCCGGCCCAAGGGGCTAAGACGGGCGACGAGGGGGGAGGGGAGGCACGATGCCCCAAGGGGGGGGGCGAGCAAAGGGGGGTGCCGGAGGGGACGGTGCAAGAAGTTGGCGGGGCGGGCAAAGGGGGGACGAATGGCGGGGGGCAGGGGCCGGGCGACGAGGCAGGGAGGCACGGCGGGGGCGGCCCGCGGCGCCACAGGCGGCCGCGGGGGCGAGAGGCACAGGACGGGAGCGCCAGGCGCGGGGGGAGGCGCAGGAAGCCCGAGGAAAGCCAGGAGCCCACCTGAACGAGGGAGCAGGCGTGGGGGGAGGGCGACGGCCTAGCTGGCGAGCCACGGAGGGGAGGGCCAGCAGGGGTGAGGGGCGGAGGTGCCGAAGAGCAGCGCCACCGAAGGAGGCCCGCAGGGGTGGGTGGAGGAGGGCGGGAGCGACGGACGCAATCCAACTCGACGGAGGGCGGCAAGCGGGGGGAGGGGCAGCCCGAGAAGAGCGAGCAAGGTCCACCGACGGAAGGGGCAGCGGGGAGTGGCGGGGAGCCGCCGGAGTGCGTCGACTGGGGGAGACGGGGGGCGAGCAACGGCGAGCAGGCGGCGGGGCCGGGGAGCTGACGAAGGGAAGACGGACGAACCGGCAAGGGGCGGCGGGCAGGCCGAGGGGGCGCCCACAGGGGCACCAGCCACGATAAGGGGCGCGGGCGGGGACGGAAGGAGGAGGGAAGGAGGAGGGGGAATAGGAGAGAAGAGAGAGAGACGGAGGAGACAGGGAGACGGGAGGGAGTGGCGCAGAGAGAACGAGGGAGCATGGGAAAGAGGGCGAGAGGCCGACCGGGAAAGGCAGAGGCCGGCGGGGGAAAGCGAGAGGGTCCGAGGAGAAGAAAGCGGCCGGCGGCAAACGAGGGGCAAAGAGCAGAGAGAGAGAGAGAGAGGAGGAGAGAGAAGAGAGAGAGAGTATGAGAGAAGAGAGATGAGAGAGAGCGACCGAGAGGGGAGGGCTAACGCCGGGGGAGGGGGCGGGACCGCAGCAGGAGCGCGGCACAGAGAGACGGAGCGGGCAGCACAGAGGAGGAGACCCCGAAGCGGCGAGCAGATCCGTAATGCAGAAGAGGGAGGGGCCGGGCCGGCCGGCGGGCCTGGAGGAGGGAGGGACAGGGGGGAGGAGAGGGGAGTGGAAGCCGGGACACGGAGGGCGCGAGCTCACGGGCGCAGAGCACCCCGACGGGGTAGGAGGGGGGGGGAGGAAGGAGGATAGGAGCCGGGAGTGATAGAAGGGGAAAAGGGGCAAAAGGCGGGGGGACAGGGGGGAGCAGATGCCGAGGGGGACCCGAGGAGAAGACCGCGGAAAGACCAGGGAGAGCGACAGGGAGGCGGAAAACGGAAGGAACCAGGCAACAGAGGATCGAGGAAGCAGGAGACACGGGGGGAGAGGGGGAGTACCCCGAAAACGGCCCACCGCACCGAAAGCACGACCAAAGAGAAAGAATAGGCCCGGCACGTGAGCACAGCAAGGAAGGCGGACCAAACGGACGCGGCAGGACGAGAAACAGGGGCTCTAGAGAGCATCCAGCCAGGCCACTCAAAGAGAAGACAAGCTAAGGACGCCAGAACCCGTCCCACACACGACCCCCGGGCTCAATACCCGACAAGCAAACGAACCCATAAGCGCCGAAGCACGGGCGACATAGCGCGCCGCCCAACAATCAGCACCACCTACCACGCCACCGAACACAAAGCACAAAGGCGCCCGACCAAGGAGGCAATCGCAGCGACCACCCACGGGCCGGGAGAAGAAGGCCCGCCAGCCGGGGAGATATGGGGCGGACCGGCGACAAAGGCGGGGTGGAGGAGAAGTGCGCAGAGAACGGCGGGGGGAGAGAGAGCCGCGGGCGACGGCGGACAGGAGCGGACCGCGGGGCGAGCCACGACGGACCCAGCGGACGACCAGGAAACCAGGGGGCAACGGGCGAAAAACGGGAACAACAGGACGGTATAAGGGAGCGACCCAGCCACACGTAGAGCGGCGAGTGCACAAAGAGGGCGCGCACCGAAAACAGAACAAGACGGCGCAGGGAAGATCAAGAAACGAGGCCGCGAACGGGCATCGCGGGCGCCATAGCGCATGGCCCCACAGAAGCGGGGGAGCAGGGCGGCAACGGCGAAGCCCGGAAAGGCACGAGGAGGGAGCGACCCCGCGACCCGCAACGAAGCGGACGCGAGGGCCGCCACAGCGTCGTGATCGGAGCCAACAACGACAACGGGCGGGCGGCAGTGAACAATGTAAACGCACGCGAACACATCGGAGGGGGAGCACACCGAGGAATAAGAACGCGCAGAAATCGACGCGAACACAAGGCCAAGAAGCCAGCGGGCCAGAGTCCACCGAGAAACAACGAGCAAGACAAGCGGAGCGGCCCGGGGACCAAAGATGGCAACAAATGACCAGATCAGCGCAAGGACTGCATGGGAACCCCTGGGCGGCAGGCGGGAACGCGGAGGAGAAGGACACAGAGGCCGGCCAGTGCACGCGACCCGCGAACGCGCGCCGACAGGCAGGGGGCCAACGCTGATGGCGCACAAAAAGCAGGGGAAGGACGGGCCCCCGGAAAGGGGGGCGGCAGGAGCCGCACAAAAGGGAACGCGAGGACAGGGCCAACCGCGACGAAAGGAAACAGGGGCCCATTGGGACGAGGACCACGCCAAACCTCACCAGAAGAAAACCAAGGAGAGGATAGGCAGGTGGAGGAGAACGGACAAAGCCCGGGGAACCACCCTCGGGGGAAAAAGGACGGGGGAGGAGCGACGGCGAGGAGGAGTAAAGAAAGAAGCAAAAGCAACAAGGAGGGAGCAGAGATAGGAAAGAGTACGAGAAGACTCCGAAAACCCGCAGCAACAAACTAGGTGAAGCCAACCAAAAAGCTGCGACCACGAGAAGACAAAGAAAAGAAAAAAAAAAAAGCAAGGAGGACAGAACAAAAAAAAAAACGAAGGGGACCAAGGTGAAGAGAAACCCGGAACCGGCAACGGAGAATGTAACAAAACCGGAACCACAACGGCGAGGAGGGGGGCGGAAACCTGCAAAGGAACAGCCCGGCGTAAACCCGACAAAGCGCCGAAAGCCCCACATAAGGCCCCAAAGCAAAACCCGGCGGCGGCGGCGACACTGCCCGCGCAGCGCGCGCGGCCGCGCCCGCGCGGCCGCGCGGCCGCACCAACACCAACCACACCACAACAACAGCCCGCCAGCCAGCGCCACAACAAAGGCACGACGGCCACTCCAGACGACGCCCCACTGGGACGCGGCCCGCGACGCCACACGGCCCGGCGCGTCGCGGAGCCCGCACGGCCACACCACACACGACGACCCCAGCCGCCGCCAGGAAAACACCCGCCACGCGCGCCGAGCCAGCGCAAAAGCCAAAGCCACGCCGCCCGCCCCGGGGGGGCCGCGAGAAAACCGGGTGCGGAAACCGGCGCCGGAAAATTGCGCCCTAAAAAACGGGGCAGCACCCAAAGGAAAAAGGCCACACCGAGGGGAGACCGCACAAGGCTGAGAAGCCCGGGGAGATCCGAAACCCGGAGGCGAACGGCACGCCAAGGACACAGGAAGCGGCTAGGGAGCATGCCCGCGAACCCGGACCAATGCGCGCCCGCGAGGGGTCGAGGAGGCGGAAAGGGCAAGAGCCGGGGTACGGAGCGCACCATGCAAAGGGTGAGTACGCACCCGCGAAGGAGGGAAGGAGGGCGAGCACCAGGGAAGGGGCCGCAAACGGGGGGAGAAAGGGGAAGCCCGCGAAAAGGCCAGTGGCAAGGAGAGAGGACGCAGCCAAATGGCCGTCCGGGACCAAACGCTAAAATCGAGCCACCACGGGGGGGGAGCAGGTCGGACCAGAAGGCAGGGAGCGGACCCAAGGGCAGGGGGGAGAGGGACGACCGCGCGAGCACGGGTCCGAACAGAAAGGGCGAACCGCGGCAACAAAAGAGACGATGGAGGAGGGGAACGGAGAGCGGGGGCCGACGAACAAACAAAACCAGGAGGTGGGCAACCGAGAGGGTGACCGGGGCCGACGTGCCGAAAACACAATGAGCCAAGGTAAGCGCCGCGCGCGGAGGAGAAAACAGATGCGTGGGGCAAGGCGAGCAACCGTAGAGGCGACCGGACGGGAGGAGCCGAAGTGGGAGCAGGGAGAGAAAAACGGGAGGGGACCGGAGCCACATAAAGAGCAAACCCGGAACCGGCAGGCGGGGGCAAGCAGAGTAACGCCGCCCGCAAGGACAGCGACGACAGGACGCCGCAGGGGACGAACGCGAATAACCAAGGAGGAGAAGGAAGGAAGAACCCAGGAGAAAGAAGAAAGGAGAAGGAGGAAGGAGGGAAAAAGGCCACCAGAGCCAGGGGCCCCAGAGACAGAAACCAACCCGAAACCCAAGAGGAAGAAACGCGAAAAACCCGGGGAGCGAGAAAGGAGGGAACGGAGGGAGCCACCGAGAACCCCCCCCACACGCCGAGACGCCCCACCACCCCAGGAGAGCCCGCAAGAAGGCCCGGAGAAGAAAGCAAGAAAGCAAGAAAGCGAAAAAAGAGCCGGCAGAGCCAAGGAAGGAAGGAAGGCCGAAGAGGGAACCCAGGGCGCAACAAAACCGAGGGTGCAGAGCGAGGAGGGCCCGGGGGGGGCCCCGAGGAGGGGGAATGCGCGAAGGAGAGGCAGGAGGGAGGGGGAGGGAGGAGTCCAGGGGGAAGCGGGGGAAGCGGGAGAGGGCGAGGGCGGGAGAAGGAGGAGAGGCGGGGATGAGGTGAGGGAGGCGAGGAGGAGGGGGGGGCGGAAGGAGAGGGGGCGGCGGGAGGGAGGGGGAGCGGGGAGGGGGGCGCCGAAGCGGGCCAAGGAGAAGACGAACCGGAGGCGGGGGAGAGAAAAGGGAGGAGAACCCGAGGGGGAGCGGAGGAGCGGAGGCGGGAGGAGCGGGGGGGAAAGCGCAGGGGGCGGGGGGTTGGATGGACGAGAGAAAAGCAGGGGAGGGATGGGCCGGGCGGCAGGGAGGGAGCGGCGGGAAGGCGAGGGGGGGCGTGAAGGACGGGGGAAAGGGTGCTGAAGCAGGCGGCGGGGGCCACACGGGCCGTGGGTGAAAAGGGGGGAAAAAGCAGGCATAGGCGGAGCGGCAGGGGGGGGGGGGACCGCCACCGACCCAGACACGGACCCGCGGCAGGGGGGCGGTGCGGGCAGCCCCGGCAGCCGGCGGCCGGCAGCCGGCGGGGCGGACCCCCACCCACCGCGACCCGCGGGGAAGGGGCCCGACCGCGGGACCCCGGCGGCCCCGGGGGAGGGGGCCCCGAGCCGCGGGAGGGGCCCAACGGACCCCGGGCGCGCGCGGCCTGAGGGCGAGGGGGAGGGGCGGGGACCGGGCGGAGGTGGGAGGAGGCGGTGAGAGGCGCAGGCGAGGGAAGGGGAGCCCGGGGACCGAGGTGGAAGAGGAGGAACCCGCCGGAGGGACGAGGCGGAGGAGGGGAGGGAGCACGCAGAGGGGGGGAGACGCCGGGGCCCCGGCCCAAGGGGGGAGGGGGGGGCAGGGGCGGGCGACAGGGGAGGGGGGGTGGCGCCCCAAGCGGGGCGAGCAGGAGGGGGGACGAGGCGGGGCAGAAGGGGAGGGGTCGGAGACAACGGGGGCAGGCCGGGCAGGCAGGGAGAGAGATAGGTCCGAGAGGGCGTGCGGTGGCCACCGGGGGGGGGCAGGCAAACGGGGCGACGGCGAGCGACGGCCGGAGCCGGGCAGGCCGCGGTCAGAGGGACACGCGCGGGGGCGGCGGGCCACGGGGGGGGGGCCGAGAACAGAGGAGGAGCGGCGGGGCAGCGGGCGGGGGCCGAGCGACCGCCCGGGGGGGCCGAGGCGGGGCATGTGGGGCGGCGGGGCCGGGGCAGAGCGAGAGGCGCGGACCCGCATGGGCAGGGCAGCATGGTGGGCCGGGGCCGCCAAAAGGGCGGGTATGGTGATAGGAGATGGGAGACGATGGGGGGAGGAGGAGGGCCGGGGAGGGACGATGGGAGTGGAGGGGAGGGGGGAGGAGGGGGGAGGAGGGGGGAGGCGGGGCGGAGCGGCGGAGCGAGGGGGAACGGCAGAGGCGCGGTATGAGAACGAGGGCGGGGGCGGACCGGAGCGGGCGAGGCAGGCCCGGGGGGAAAAGCGAGAGGGCGGAGGAGAGAGCGGCAGGCGCAAAAGGGGGGGCGGAGAGCGAGAGAGAGCGCGAGAGGAGGGGAGGCAACGCGGGGGAGGGGGGACCAGCAGCGCGCGCGGAACAGAGAGAGGGGGCGGGCAGGCACAGAAGAAGAAGGCACGGGGAGCGCGCGAGAACGCGGAACGGAGAAAGGAGGGAGGCCCGGGCGGCCGGCGGGCCAGAGAGGCAGGACAGGAGGGAGGAGAGGAGGGAGGGAGCCGGGGCACCGGGGGGCGCGAGCCCAGGGGGGGCAGAGCACCCCGGACACGGGGAGGGGGGGAGGGAAGAAGAGGGACCGGGAGGAGAAGGGGGAAAGCGGGAAAAGCGGGGGGGGGACAGGGGGGAGCAGAGCCGAAGGGGACCCGAGGAAAAGACGCGGAAGACCGGACGGGAGGACAGGAAGCGGGAACGCGAGGGAGGGAGGAACAGAGGACGCAGGAAGCGGAGGACGCGCGGGGAGAGGGGGAAACCGACACAGAACCGCCCGCACGGAGCCCGCGCGAAGAGGAGAAGCCCGGCCCCACGGAGGAGAGCAAGAGGAAAACACAAAAGAACAGCGACCGGAAGCGCCAGGAAGGGCACCGAAGAAGAAACAGGCAGGAACACCGGGACACCCCGCGCAAGAAAGCGGGACGCAAGGCCCGACAACGCCGGACCCAAAGGCCCAGGCACGAAGGACGAGCGGACCCCAACCGCGGCCGAACAGACGAGAACGGGGAAAGCCACCACCAAGGCGCGGCACAGCGAACCACCCACCCGCGCGGGAGACGAAGACCCCACAACCCGCGAGGAAGGGAGGAGACAGGCGACAAGGGGGCAGGACGACCCAAGGCCCGAACGCCACCGGGCAGGAGAGCCGCCGGCGAGGGCAAGCACGAGGCCGACGACGGGGGGGCCCGCGAGGGGCCGAGGACGAGCAAGACCCCGAAGGCAACGGGGAGGACGGAAAGACGCGGGACGAGAACAGGGCGACCCCAACCACCGGAAGGCCGCCAGGGGCGAGGAAGGCCGCAAGCGAAGACAGGGGACGGCCCCGGGCGCAGAAGACGACCGACGAGGCGGCCGACGGGCGCGCCGCGCCCCCGAGAGAGGACCCACCGAAGGGAGCAAAGGCAGGAAGGCCGAACGGGCCGGAAGCCCGAACACCAGAGGGCCGGGGCCGCCCAAGAACCGAAGACCCGCGGAGAGGCCGAGGCCAAGGCAGGGCAGCGACAACAGGGAGCGGACCCGCCGCCAGGGAGGCAACGGGGGGAGAAAAGGAAACCCGAAGGAAGGCGGCCAAGGCGCGCCAAGGAAGCGAAGAACCCCAAAACCGCCCCACGGGACCAAACCAGCAGCGCCGACGACCCGGGGAAGAAGCCGCACCCGAAGCAAGGCCAGGAGCGGAGAGAGCAACAGAGGCGCCGGAACCGGCCGAGGGCACGCCACCCCAGCGGGCAGAGGAGGCGACGCAGGGGCGACCAACGCAGGCAGAGCAACCGAGGGCGCCGCCCAGCGCGGGCGGAACGCCACCACCAAGGGCCGACGCCAAGGCAAGGGGGCCGCAGGCGAGGGCAGAAAAGGGGAGCGCAGGGACGAGCAGGGAAGGAGCACCAGGCAGGGAGGGGAAGGGCCCAGCGAACCGGAGCCAGGGGCAAGGGAGGGGAGGCAAGGAAGCGGGGGCAGGGAGGGGCGAGGGAAGGGCCAAGCGCAAAGCCGGGGCGGAGAGCAGAAAGGGGGCCGACGAGGGCCAAACGGGAAGAGGGGGGCGGACCGCAGGGCCCGCCAGGAGCCAGGGAGCAAGCGGAGAAACAGGAGGAAAAGGAAGAAGGAGCGGGGCCAAGGAAACGAGGCCGGCGGAGGCGCAGGCGAAGACCGCAACGCCAAAACACCCGAACCACAAGCCAGCCCAGGGGGAACGAGGGCACCGACGGCGGCCCAGACGAGAGGCCCGGGGCACCCCCGACCAGAGAGGGCGAGGGCACCAGAGACCGCAGGCCGGGCGCCGCCCCGAGCGCGAAACCACCCGACCGGCGAGCACCAAAGGAAAGGAAGGAACGGAAAACACAACGCCAAGAACGGCGAGAGAAGGGGGACAGCCGGCCCAGCACCGCCCCAGGGGGAGCACCGGGACGAGGCGGGAAGAAGAAGGAGGGGAGCAGGCGCCGGGGCAGCGACGACCGGGAACGCAACCAAGGGACGAGAAAGAAGAGGGACCCCCGGCCCCGAAGAGAGGACGGAGGGGACCAACGCAAAGGGGCAGGGGGAGGCGCGAAGAGCGACCGAAGAGCCGGGGAGCACCAGAGCCAAGGGGCCAAACCGGACAGCCAGAAAACGGCCGGCCGGACACGCGACGGCCACGACGAGGGGACCGGAAGGCCGGGCGGCCGCACGAACGCGCCGGCCAGAGGCAGGGACCGCAGGAAGCGAGGAGGCCGACCGCACCGGGAGGACGGCGGCAGCGGGGGCAGGGACGACAGCCGAGGCGACGCCCGAAAGAAAGAAGAACAGGAGAAGCACCGACGCAGAGCGCGGCAAACCCGCAGGGAGAACCAACGCGACGCGAAAGGCGCCAAGGGCGAAGGCGGGCAAGACAGCGGAGCCGGCGGGGGCCACGGGAGAACCAAGGAAGGGAGGAGGGGGGACCCCGCGAAGGGGCGCGCCGGGAAAGAAGGGACCACGCCGAACGCACGCGCGGAAGGCCGAAGCGGCGGAGGGCGAGCGGGCGACGACAGGAGAGGCGGACCCGACGGCACCAAGAGAGCCCAACCCCGCAGGAAGCGCAGGAAAAAGGAAACCCCCGGCCGGGGGGACAACGGCGGCAGCGCGGCCGGCCAAGCAGGAAAGGAGAAACGAACCACGGCACCCGGGCGAGCCAGACCCGCCGGAGCGGAAGGGGGGGAAGGCGACAGCGACGCAGCCAAGAAGGGGGGAGGAGGCGGACGAAGGCAAAAGGGCAAGGGAAGAGCGGACGCAGCCAGGCAACGCAAAACCCACGAAGAAAAGGACCCCACCCAGGACCGCGAGCGAGCCGCGAGCGGAGGCGCACGGAAAAGGGGAGGCACGACCGGGAGGGAGGACAAGGCAAGAGCGACACCGACCAGAAGAGCCGGAAGGACAGGGGACGCAAAAAGGACCGAAACAGGAGACAACGAAGAGGGCGGGAACGCAGAAAGGACGACGACCGAGACAGGCAAGACCACGAGGGAAAGCCAACGGGGGGGCGGAGGCCCGAAGCCGAAAGACAAAGCAGGCCCGGAACACCACGGGGGGCCGACCGGACCAGCGGGACAGGGACGGCCAAAGGCGACACGGGGAAAGAAGAGAGCAGGGACAAACGCGCCCCAAGGCCGAGCGACGCAACACACAGGCCGGGCCCACCCGCGGCGAGGAAAGCAAAGCAGGACAACAACAGGACCCGGAACGAGAGAAAAGCCGCCGCGACCGGACGCGAGGGAAAGAGGGCCCCGGCGAAGCACACCCAGACGGCAGCCGCCGCGACAAAGGGAGGGGGGGGGGACCCGCAACGCACCCCCACGGGAAACAGCAGAGCGGGGAGGAAGGACACAACGCCCCGGACGCCGGCCACCCAGGCGGGGACAAAGGAGACCAAGACGGAAAGAAAGCAGGGGGGGGCCGAAGAGGAAAAAGGAAGGCGCAGACGGGGGGCCAAGGGCCGGAAGGGCCAAAAGGGAAAAGCCGAACGAGGCAAACCCAAGGGACGCGGACAACCCCGGGAAAGACCACAAGGAAAAGGGGAGGCCAGAGCCAGGGACGGCGGCGGAGGGCGACCCCCAACGAAAACCGGGAAGGAGAAAAGCGGGGGCAGAGGGGAGCGACGCACCAAGACAGCGCGGGCAGGGCCAGGAAAGAAACAGGGACGAGGACGCAACGAGCCCAAGCG